TGAGAAAACAGCAGCCAGCCATAAAAATTCAACACCTTAATGAGTTTAAATTTCATTTCAGCGTGTTGAACTTTGGCACCGGATTCTAAAGCTTGGTGTCTCACTGAAGGCACTTTAACCGACTAATTACTGTTGTTCCAATTTGCTGCTGGATTTAAATAGAAGGAAAAGACATGAGAGAGAGAGAGAGAGAGAGATAGAGAGAAAAGTAAGAGTCCTCTGAGGCAGCTGTCGGAGGCAGGGAATGGGAGAGTCTGTCACGGGCGGCTCTGTTGTCTTCTGTGACTCTGGTAGGGGGACTGAACTCACATCCTTTAACAAGCGTTACACACGGTTCTGACTGAAGGCAGGACCCCTGGGCGAAGGTGGGGGTCTACACTCAACGCTCGTATGATGGTGCAACTAACTGAGGCAGATGTGTGGTGGAGGCAGACAGCCTGTGTGTAGGAAGTGCTCGGTGCTGCTGATAGAACCTGAACTGAGATGAGACGAGGCTGTAGGCCTCACTCGCACAGCTCAAACTGGTGTGTGTCAGCCACCGGCGATGCCCTGGGAACAGCTAGCATAGATAATAGCAGGGGAGACTGAGACTTGGGGAGACTTCTTTTCACCAGAAGGGGAAAAATAGTCCAGGGAACGGTGTTGGGGAAGGTAATCAGAAATTTTAAATATAATTTAAAGTACAATTATGCTACCTTTTTGAAAAAGCAGTTAGCAACACTACAAGCTACTAAAAAAGAAGAAGAAGAAGAAGAAGCTAGCTACCATTCCAAGATTTGGGGCCGATGAGATTTTAAAAATGTTTTTGAAAGTCTCTTATCCTTACCAAAGGTGCATTTATTTGATTCAAAATATAGTAAAAAAAAAAAGGAATTTTCAGCAGCCATTACTCCAGTCACATGATCTTTCAGAAATCATTCTAATATGCTCATTAGCAAGCTCAAGAAATATATATATATATTTTTATTATTATCAATGTTGAAAATATTGCTGATTAATATTTTTGTGGAAATGAAATATTTTTTTCTTTTTTTGTAACATTATCAATGTATTTACTGTCACTTATGATTAATTTAATACAACTTAAATCAAGGAAAAAAGGCTGCCTTATTAAAGTCAGACATAGAATTTTTCCTTAGTTTCCACTCTGCGTTTTTTTTACTCATAAACTCATAAAATGGATATATTTATATTATTCGGCAACAACAGAAAGTCTGTTTCATAAGTGTGTAATCACTTTTGGGTGAGTTTAAGACTTTTTATATCCATGTTAAATATAGAAATGCTAAGTAATAATATTCCAAACTGCAACACTGTATAGTGATGCATCTGTGGAAGACCTTTATAGTCTTCCAGGATTCATATCATATTTGCAGTGTCCTGTTGAATGTTTTCCTGAAGGTGTATTGCATATTAAGTACGGAATTACATATTTTAGATTAAGGAACTTGATTTTAAAGCATTTCAATAACCCCAAATATACAAAGCAAATCTCCTTAGACCAATCAAAATATCACATATATTCTGTGTACCAGCCATGTAGTAATTTTCAGAAGTGAAGTAATCCACTTTGCGGCCTTGAGGACTTCCCCAGTTTGTCTGTGCTCCTTTTTTTTTTCTTCTTCGGAGCTGTGTTGTGGGTGACTGCTGGGCATAATGCAATTTGGCGGCGTGATAAACCAGGAGAGATGAAGAGGAACGGTGGAGCAATCTGTGATTGTAATCTTGGCCTAAAACGACTCTTTTGCAGTGTGCTGAAATTGTGCATGGATTAAGCAGATGGTGGAATGTGAATCCATCTGATAGGATTAAACTTTGGTGCCTCCTCTGCCGCCATCTGTTCCCTTACGCTGTGTGCACGCATACACACGCTCGCTCTTTACACACATCACAGATACAAGCACAATAGCTTTCTCTTCTACAAACTAACATTCTCGAGCCCTGCAGACACCTCTTTCCACCACAGTGCGTCTGTGACATGACCTCACGTATTGGTGCCCTCACTTTACCCTCGTCTCCGCAGCCCAGAGCAATCAACACACATGCACGCCATATCTGACAGAACAGGCTCATTAGCTGGAGGGGAGTGGAAATAGTTTAAAACTGACACAATAATGGACAAGAGTGGCTAAGTAGGGGTGAGTGAAGGGAAGCATGCTGTTGGTTAAGAGAAGGCCATATTTTTGTGGAATGGATTTAAATATGGTAAAATGTGTTAAACAGAGCTAAAAGTACACTATTATTGGGAGTGAAAAGCATTATCAAATCAGCTAAAAGTACTTAAAGGAATAGTTCACCTAGAAATTGAAATTTGCTGAAAATTGACCTACACTCAGGCCATCTAAAATGTAGATGAGTTTGTTTCGGAACAGATTTGGAGAAATTTAGTATCGCATCATTTGTTCACCTATGGATCCTCTGCAGTGAATGGGTGCCGTCATAATGAGAGTTCAAACATCTGATAAAAACATCACAAAAATCCACAAGCAATCAACATGACTCCAGTACATCAATTAACGTCTTGTGAAGTGAAAAGCTGCATGTTTGTAAGAAACAAATCCATTGTTATGGTTTTAACTTTAAACCTTCTGGCCAAAATACCCATATGTCCATGATCCATAATAGCATATGGTCATAATCCATAATAACGCTTTCACCAGTAAAAAAAATTCATCTCCTTTTGTTCACAGATATATTTGATTTGGACTGTTTTTGCTTGTATACACTGCTTGATCTGTGCATATTTCTCTCCTGTTTCAGACTAAATTACTTTTTTCACTGCAGAAAGCAATATTATGGATAGAGGACATGTATTTTAGCTTGAAGCAACGGTTTGAAGTTAAAAAAATCTTGATGGATTTGTTTATTACAGACACGTTTTTCACAGCTTTTCACTTCACAAGACATTAATCAATGCACTGGAGTCGTGTGGATTACTTTGTAATGTGTTTACCAGCTGTTTGAACTCTCATTCTGACGGCACCCATCAACTGCAGTGGATCCATTGGTGAACAAGTGATGTATTGCTAAATCCAATGAAGAAACAAACTCACATACATATTGGATGGCCTGAGGGTGGGCAAATTTTCATTTTTGTATGAACTATTCCATTAATAAGATCATACACAAGGGGCAGGGATGTGTAGAACACAGTGAATGACAGGTGTTTAAATTTCAAGTGGAATTTAATTATTACAAGAACTCTGTATTGGATTTTGGAGCTCTGACGTTGTTCCTGCATTGCCCTCCAAAAAATATATATATCTATATGTGCACGTCAGGGTTTTATATTAGACATAATGAGGAATTACAATATAAGCCTGTCTGTCTCAGGAATTATCCTATACTTTCTTTTGGAAAAAAGAAAGAAGAAAAATCCCCACAATTTTCCAAATATGTCCAGGCTTTAGAAAAATTGACTTTTTTAATCTTCTCAGTGCAGTGGAAACTGTGCTTAAATACTGAAGACATCCCCAGGAGAATAGAGATAACTTAATCATCATCAGCATCATCATCAAACCATCATCATTCAAATCCTCAGTTTCTCATCATAAATAGAGGTTAACAGTCCAAACTGAAAAATATGTTCTTCTCTAGAATCATCCCAAACATAAATGAGAAAATGATTGGATTTGATTGCGGCTGAGGATCAAATCAGTGCTCAAATCATGTCCACATGTTATTAGACAGATTTGGGAGGGTCGCACTGTAACCTGCAACACTAGAGGAGGACAGCAGATAAAGCCACATGTCATTCAGAAAATAAATGCTCTGTGCTTAAGCCTTAGAGGTCTCGTAAGACACATGTTCAAACCTAAAGAGAACAGGCCACTTGGGGAATGCTGCGTTCATTGCTCTTTTCTTTGCCCTGGATTGTCGGTGTTTTGTTGCACTGCTACTGTTGGTATGCTGATTGTCAGTCAAATGAAAGTCTGGTTAGCTCAGACCACCTGTAATATCTGGCATCGGCGTGACTTGTTAGTGACATTAAAACATGACAGCGGCACACAGAGGTGCTGACTCTGTGTGTTGACTGAACGGTCACAGTTGTCTTTCAGCCAGTGGAGAATAAAGAGTGCTCATCTCTGCTCGACTGCACCCCGGATCATTAAATAATAAAGCATACAAACTAGCTGAAAGTAGTTTGGAAGGATAGTGTGATATACTGTACTGTAGTGGTTAAAGCTCTGGGCTGAATGAAAGGTTTCAGGTTCAAATTCATGAGTTATAATGAAAAAAAAACCTCTTTTTTCTTGAGGTCCGGGCACAAAAGTTTGTGGTCAAAAATGATCCATTGTCAATAGTGTACTGATGTATGAATCACAGCAAACACAGAAGTCACTTTCAAACCAAGCAGCTTTCTGTTGACCATGACCATTTGCATGTGTGTGTATTTATTTATTTGTTTCTATATTGAAATGTTTTTCCTATACCCTTCATATGCTGAGACAACTATAAGTAAGCCATTAGTAGGTTGATTTCCCAAAACATTGTGGGTCTCTGACGCTCAGATCCTTGTTTTGTCCTGATCATACAAGACTTTCAAGTCAATCGAAGATGGTGGAGGAAACCTGAAATCACAATTCTTGCAATACCATTTGGTGACAGTAGTTGGGTAGAAATGGCACACTTCAGCTTTAAGCTGTGTCTGTAAGTTTATAAGTTGACGTAAGGGAAAACTACAGTGCTAGCCATGATGGGCAACCATCTGTGCTCATGCAGCAAAACAATGAAACTACATTGAGTGTGACAAAGTGGCTTAGTTTAGCTGAATGGTGCTTGGGATGTTGCTGCTATTAGTTAGGGAATTTTCACTACATTACATTGCAGGTGTAACATTTTTGTCTTTTATTCCTGCTGTCGGTTGCTCCCATTTGTCTCATTCTTTCTCTCACTACGAAACAATTTGATATGAAGAGTTTGTGTATATTGATATGGCAAACGTGTGTTCTTTATTTCTTGACAAAATGCATGTAAACAGATATAGTATGTACACTCACCGTGTTCCAGGTATGACGGAGTGCCTTCAGACGGGTCCAGCCTGCGAGCTCTGCGTCCATGTTTAGAGTTATTGTGTACAAACATGTTATCAGACACAGCCAGGACGTGTCCGTCCACGCTGACCGTCGTGGACACCACCACCTGCAAGAGACAAATGATAACTGTACTTCACTTGACCCGCAAAGACATACTCTGTTCTTGTAAACAAATTAATACGTAGCTCAAACAAACAGCTGAAGTGTTGGAGTAGCACATACACACGGTATGCTTGTAAGTAACTGCTGACTGATAAATTGACGAACAGGCACATTTCACCAGAGAGCCTGGAACAATGACAGCAGCTAACAGCTCTCACCGAGCTGAAGATGTAGACTAGAGGTGTCCCACAGCAACTGAGGAGCCTCTTGATTTAAATGGCTCTCAGGCTTTGAGAGGTCTCTCAATCTCAAGAGAGGAAGAGGCTTGATGAGACTTGGCAAACACTGCTTACATTATCCCTGTTCTGGGCAACCACTTCATTCGCTCAAAGCTTTCTTTTTCTCCCTCTTCTTTACATCCGTATTAACCATTCATACTTTTTTAGTGAAATACATTGGATTGTATAAGGGCCATATATATATATATGGTGGAGATTAAAATTATAGAACAACCTACAATTTCCTAAATTTCAAGGTCACTGCTTAGTCCTGTTTGAAGTTAACCTAACAGGAGTCTGTTTCGGCACATTTAAGAGAAGTCGGACTGAAAGTGCACTCTGCAGTGACCAAGCCTCTCATCATCAGAAAGAATAAAAAGGCTAGGAGCATGTTGAGTGGACAGAGGAGAATTGGTCCAAAGTTCAATTTAGTGATGAGAGAAAGTTAAATTTATTTGGGTCAGATGGGAAACGTTATGTTCGGAGTCAAACTGGGGAAAGACTGAACCCCGAGTGCGTAAAGAAGTCAGTGAAAGGTGGAGGAGGAAGTGTCATGGTTGCAGCATGTTTTGTGCAGCAGGAGTTGGGCCTCTTATACAGATACATGGCAGGGTGAATGCAGATGTTTATCAGAACCTCCTTCAGCAACATGCAGTACCTTCCCTGCAAGCATCTCCAAATCAGCCTGCAATTTTCATGCAAGAAAATGTTCCCGTCACACTGCAAAACGGGTAAAGCAGTTCTTTGAGTTCTTTGAAATTGAAATAATGAAATGGCCGGCCCAGAGTCCTGATCTAAACCCAACTGAAAAACTCTGGAAACTCTGGAAAAACAAAGTTATGGCTAAGAAACCCACTACAGTCACCGAGCTATGGAAGAGACTGGAAGAAGAGTGGACCAAGATCACACCAGCACAGGGTGAGAAACTAGTGATGTCCTGCAGCCGCAGATGTGCTGAAGTCATTCAAAGCAAGGGCCTCTACAATTCCTACTAATTTCTGTAACCCTCCAAATTTTTAGTTGTAATCTTTAGTTGTAAATAAATTTCGTGCTACAGTGGTTACTATTCTCTAATTTTGATCACTGTGTTTTCCACACACACACAAAAAAAACATATATTATATATATTCAATTACTTTAATTTGAGGTGTTTTAAATATCACCTAAATATTGAAAATATTTCAGATATTGACAAAAGGGATTCACTGTATTTAACGTTAATTAATTAATTCAATTAAAAAGGTTAATCGATTGATATCCCTAAAATATATTACATTTCATGTCATTTCAAACTATTTAAATGTTCATTAACTACTCATTTGCTGAGCATTATTAATATAATAATGATTGTAATGTTATTAATGGACATTTTTTATAGTGTTACCATTCCATGCAGCAAGCAATGCAAGTGCAGCTTGTCCACTAACATATATGGTCAAAACTGCAATTTTACCACTTTAGTATAGAAGTGTGAGCTGACTGAGTGTGGTCCTACCTGAAATCGCCGCATGTCTCTTGGGTTCCCTGCATTCTTTAGGCAGTTCTGGTTGCATTTGAGGAAGAATTTCAGGAAAAACCTGGAAAAAAACAGAATAAGAGGATTTATGAGGTAAAACTGTTTTGTTCAAAACTGTGGTGTGAGATTGAGGTAAAGAATTTAGTGTTGTGTGGTACTGACATTGACCGCATTAGATCTAATATTTGTCGTTAACCTACTGAATCTACCTATTCTGTGCATTCATAAGGTCACAGCTACACGTTTATTCACACGCACGCAATGAGTAACACACTGGTCTTAGAAATTAATAACAGACCATCTGTCAAGAGCCCAGAAAGAGGTCTGTCAGCTGAGTAAAGGATAAGAAAGCAGGAGAAAGATCAAGAGAGATAGAATTGTGTTGTCGAGGTCACGCAAAGAGCACCTAGACTCACATAAGTCACAAATACATTGAGATTTCCTCATAAAGGAACCATAGTAGATGAGAATCCTTATCAACTATTACTCAGAGATGTATAAAATCTACTCACTGTACTCATCTTCCCAGGAGAACATCCAATGTTGTGAATATTACTGTGCCATTGATCAATCAAATTAATAATGTGTGTCAAATGATTTGTAAGTGTTTATTATTTATGCATTTTAAGAACAGTGTTTTTAATGTTGAATCCAGTGTCAGATTTTGTTTGGCTGTGATTCAGTGTGTTCTCCCTCCTTCTCTGTGGTCTGAAATCTACAATATTAATTAGCACAGTGGGGTTTCTCTCTTTTTTCTTCATTCATGGTTTTCCGGTTCACTGCACTGGTATAGTTGAGAATCCACGTCTGTCTGCAGCATTCATCAACTATTACATTTGCTGTCTGTCACTACTCACACAAATGCATTAACACTCAGTAGCCTGGTGATCACAGTTTGGGTTGCAACTGTTGGAATCTTAAAGGAGACAATGTCTATGAATCTAATCATCTAACACTCAGCATACTTTTACCGAGCTGTCAAAAGGGCACAAACCATAGACTACTATTGTTTTTATACACACTACTGTTAAAATTAGTACTTTTATTCAGCAATGATGCAGTAAATTGATCAAGAGTGACAGTGAAGACATTTATAATGTTTCTAAACCAAACAAAAAACTTTTTGCATTTTTAGAATAAAAATAATATATAATTTTTACAATTTTTCAAAGGTGGAGGAGGAAGTGTCATGGTTGCAGCATGTTTTGTGCAGCAGGAGTTGGGCCTCTTATACAGATACATGGCAGGGTGAGTGCAGATGTTTATCAGAACCTCCTTCAGCAACATGCAGTACCTTCCCTGCAAGCATCTCCAAATCAGCCTGCAATTTTCATGCAAGAAAATGTTCCCGTCACACTGCAAAACGGGTAAAGCAGTTCTTTGAAGCTGAAAACATTGAAATAATGAAATGGCCGGCCCAGAGTCCTGATCTAAACCCAACTGAAAAACTCTGGAAAATCATTGGCAACAAAGTTATGGCTAAGAAACCCACTACAGTCACCGAGCTATGGAAGAGACTGGAAGAAGAGTGGACCAAGATCACACCAGCACAGGGTGAGAAACTAGTGATGTCCTGCAGCCGCAGATGTGCTGAAGTCATTCAAAGCAAGGGCCTCTACAATTCCTACTAATTTCTGTAACCCTCCAAATTTTTAGTTGTAATCTTTAGTTGTAAATAAATTTCGTGCTACAGTGGTTACTATTCTCTAATTTTGATCACTGTGTTTTCCACACACACACAAAAAAAACATATATTATATATATTCAATTACTTTAATTTGAGGTGTTTTAAATATCACCTAAATATTGAAAATATTTCAGATATTGACAAAAGGGATTCACTGTATTTAACGTTAATTAATTAATTCAATTAAAAAGGTTAATCGATTGATATCCCTAAAATATATTACATTTCATGTCATTTCAAACTATTTAAATGTTCATTAACTACTCATTTGCTGAGCATTATTAATATAATAATGATTGTAATGTTATTAATGGACATTTTTTATAGTGTTACCATTCCATGCAGCAAGCAATGCAAGTGCAGCTTGTCCACTAACATATATGGTCAAAATTGCAATTTTACCACTTTAGTATAGAAGTGTGAGCTGACTGAGTGTGGTCCTACCTGAAATCGCCGCATGTCTCTTGGGTTCCCTGCATTCTTTAGGCAGTTCTGGTTGCATTTGAGGAAGAATTTCAGGAAAAACCTGGAAAAAAACAGAATAAGAGGATTTATGAGGTAAAACTGTTTTGTTCAAAACTGTGGTGTGAGATTGAGGTAAAGAATTTAGTGTTGTGTGGTACTGACATTGACCGCATTAGATCTAATATTTGTCGTTAACCTACTGAATCTACCTATTCTGTGCATTCATAAGGTCACAGCTACACGTTTATTCACACGCACGCAATGAGTAACACACTGGTCTTAGAAATTAATAACAGACCATCTGTCAAGAGCCCAGAAAGAGGTCTGTCAGCTGAGTAAAGGATAAGAAAGCAGGAGAAAGATCAAGAGAGATAGAATTGTGTTGTCGAGGTCACGCAAAGAGCACCTAGACTCACATAAGTCACAAATACATTGAGATTTCCTCATAAAGGAACCATAGTAGATGAGAATCCTTATCAACTATTACTCAGAGATGTATAAAATCTACTCACTGTACTCATCTTCCCAGGAGAACATCCAATGTTGTGAATATTACTGTGCCATTGATCAATCAAATTAATAATGTGTGTCAAATGATTTGTAAGTGTTTATTATTTATGCATTTTAAGAACAGTGTTTTTAATGTTGAATCCAGTGTCAGATTTTGTTTGGCTGTGATTCAGTGTGTTCTCCCTCCTTCTCTGTGGTCTGAAATCTACAATATTAATTAGCACAGTGGGGTTTCTCTCTTTTTTCTTCATTCATGGTTTTCCGGTTCACTGCACTGGTATAGTTGAGAATCCACGTCTGTCTGCAGCATTCATCAACTATTACATTTGCTGTCTGTCACTACTCACACAAATGCATTAACACTCAGTAGCCTGGTGATCACAGTTTGGGTTGCAACTGTTGGAATCTTAAAGGAGACAATGTCTATGAATCTAATCATCTAACACTCAGCATACTTTTACCGAGCTGTCAAAAGGGCACAAACCATAGACTACTATTGTTTTTATACACACTACTGTTAAAATTAGTACTTTTATTCAGCAATGATGCAGTAAATTGATCAAGAGTGACAGTGAAGACATTTATAATGTTTCTAAACCAAACAAAAAACTTTTTGCATTTTTAGAATAAAAATAATATATAATTTTTACAATTTTTCATTTTTTTTAGAGAGATACATACATTTGTACATAGACACACAGGGCTGTCTTCAAAGGTTAAAGTGATTCATGAATATTGCATTTTTTTAATTCATAAAGTTTAGTTCTTTTGGGGTAAAGGTTTAGTTTGGTTTAAGGCTAGTCTGTAGTAGCTTATTATAAAAACAATAGAAGTCCATGGAAAGTCCCAACCACCATGATAGGAAAACAAACGTGTATATGTGTGTGTGTGTGTGCAGCTGGCTTGTTAGTGCTGAAGGAATGAAAGATGCATAGTCTGTGTGTGCTGGCTGTGATTCCTCTAGGATAAGCGGTCCAGGTCTCATCCTTTGCTCTTTAATCTACTGTTTGTGTCGCCCCTCAAACATCTACACCATTTCACATCCATGTGCGTCAATCCATTCATCCCCTTCTCATGCCTTTGTGCCTATTAGCATGTCAGATGGAAAATGCACACAGTATGTGCACTGTATGTGACATATACTGTATAAATATATCTTATACACACACGCACGCACACACATACACACACACATATACATGATATATATATATATATATATATATCATATCATCATATATATATATATGATATCATCTTGCATTTTGCAGCTCAGTGTGTGTGTGCATTGATAAAAACATGTTTGTGTGTGTGTTATCCACTGTGTTGTTTGGGTAAACAGATTAGCGCTACAGGCCTCGTCTATAATATCATTTAAGAGCTCTAAGGGGCTTTCTTCCCCACTGATTCCCTCCTGTCACTGACCCTGTCTGAGCGCTCCTGACCTGTCCCTTATTCTTCCACGCTTTCGCTTTCCTTCTCTTACTCTCTTTCCTGCTTTGTGTGGAGATAAGTCTGGGCTTAACCCCATCGCTGACATCACGCTCTCATAGTCCTCTTAAATCCCCTGCAAAACCCTGGGTGCCCTCACTTTAGGAAGACATCCTTTGTCTTTCTTTCCCTCCGCGATATGGATTTGTCCTTCTGGTCTCCTAACCGCACGCCACGTTCACATAAACACTCACTCATAGTTTTTAGAGCCCTCATCCACATGTGTAATGTGGATATAGTTTGACTCTGTTGACCCCGTAGCTCCATTAGCAATAGCGAGAGTACTCCGATGCCTGCCAAACAGGGAGGGGACATTACAATTTTTCATTTTTTTTAGAGAGATACATACATTTGTACATAGACACACAGGGCTGTCTTCAAAGGTTAAAGTGATTCATGAATATTGCATTTTTTTAATTCATAAAGTTTAGTTCTTTTGGGGTAAAGGTTTAGTTTGGTTTAAGGCTAGTCTGTAGTAGCTTATTATAAAAACAATAGAAGTCCATGGAAAGTCCCAACCACCATGATAGGAAAACAAACGTGTATATGTGTGTGTGTGTGTGCAGCTGGCTTGTTAGTGCTGAAGGAATGAAAGATGCATAGTCTGTGTGTGCTGGCTGTGATTCCTCTAGGATAAGCGGTCCAGGTCTCATCCTTTGCTCTTTAATCTACTGTTTGTGTCGCCCCTCAAACATCTACACCATTTCACATCCATGTGCGTCAATCCATTCATCCCCTTCTCATGCCTTTGTGCCTATTAGCATGTCAGATGGAAAATGCACACAGTATGTGCACTGTATGTGACATATACTGTATAAATATATCTTATACACACACGCACGCACACACATACACACACACATATACATGATATATATATATATATATATATATCATATCATCATATATATATATATGATATCATCTTGCATTTTGCAGCTCAGTGTGTGTGTGCATTGATAAAAACATGTTTGTGTGTGTGTTATCCACTGTGTTGTTTGGGTAAACAGATTAGCGCTACAGGCCTCGTCTATAATATCATTTAAGAGCTCTAAGGGGCTTTCTTCCCCACTGATTCCCTCCTGTCACTGACCCTGTCTGAGCGCTCCTGACCTGTCCCTTATTCTTCCACGCTTTCGCTTTCCTTCTCTTACTCTCTTTCCTGCTTTGTGTGGAGATAAGTCTGGGCTTAACCCCATCGCTGACATCACGCTCTCATAGTCCTCTTAAATCCCCTGCAAAACCCTGGGTGCCCTCACTTTAGGAAGACATCCTTTGTCTTTCTTTCCTTCTACTCTATGAATTTGTCCTTCTGGTCTCCTAGCCGCACACCACGTTCACATAAACACTCACTCATAGTTTTTAGAGCCCTCATCCACATGTGTAATGTGGATATAGTTTGACTCTGTTGACCCCGTAGCTCCATTAGCAATAGCGAGAGTACTCCGATGCCTGCCAAACAGGGAGGGGACATGTAATCACACGTGTAATGTTTAATAAAGTGTGCACTGTCCCCTCTGTAGGGCACTTCGGACAGGGACCTTATGCTTTTAGAAGAGATTGGACGGTACGTTGCAAATGACGCGGCTAAGAGCACTTCAATTAGAGAGGGCTATTACCACAGTCAGCGTGAGTAAGAGGGCAACACTCCAAGTGTCTGATGGGTAGGATGAGTTTAAGTCAGAGCACAGAGACTGACCTGTCATACGTACTGCTCTGCTTAATAACTCTTACATTGTACTTTTAAACACATCAAACCGGCTGCTAATGAAACTGTAACTGAGATGGAAAGAGTACAGCTGATGGCGTGGAAGAATGAGAGAGTATAGCTGCGCTCTGATTCACAGGGATCCTATGCAGTGTTCATTGCTCCCTACACACTGAGCTGGCTATATCTATATAAGTTCACTTCACTTGAGAAAATGCACCATTTGAAAATGCTGCAATGTCATCAAACACATAAGACAAATGAGTCACGCAGATATACTTATACGCTGCAGTTCAAAATTTCGGAGATCGTGTTTTTGAAAAAGGACTGACCATGGCTGCATTATTTGATTGAAAATACAGTAAAAACAGTAATATTGTGAAATATTATTACAATTTAAATTAATTGTTTTCTGTCATAATATATTTTAAAATATGGTTTATTTCTGTGATTGCAAATGCTGAATTTTCAGCAGCCATTACTCCTGTCTTCAGTGTCACATGATCCTTCAGAAATCATTCTGATATGCTAAATTGCTTCTCAAGAATAATTTCTTATCCATGTTGAAAATTATTTCTTGACCCATGGCTATGATGATGACATTGTGATGGTCACATCTTGTGTGCTTTATACAGGCATCTGTAAAGAATTCAACTTTTTCATTGTGTTTATTTTTTACCAAACTTTTTTGTGATATTCAGATATCACGCTTCCTGTGTGTTGATGTACTGATAATGTACGGTTCCCTGTGCATTTTGCAGTGCCCCTCAGACTGAACATAGATCATAAAATACCCAATGAAGTTCACTTTGCAGTGGTGATTGGAGCTTACCCAGTTATCAAGATGTGAAGAGTGAATGTCAGGGCGAAAAAGAAGGAGAGCAATGAATTAAAGCAGCAACCGAGGGGTGATGGGGTTAGTGTAAGCAGGGTTAATGTAATCCTCAACAAATTGACCTTTGACCTCAGTCTGTCTAGGGGTCACATCTGTCCCCTCAGCTCTGGCCAGTTAATTAACTCTCCTGCAGGCTCGCCTTACGTGGACACTTAGCCATTAAGCCGCTTGTGTTATTCTCCTCAAATCTCAGCCAAGGAATGATTCACAAAAAATGAAGCCTGTTTCGCTAGACGTCAAATTAAATACAAAACATCCACACAGGAAAGTGCACTTTACAATCAGACACCCACTCAAAATGCAACGATCACAGAAAATGCACTTTAATAAACGGAAGAGTGTTTGGGAAAGTCTCTGCAGCCCCTCATTGAGTTCGAGTCGGTCCTAAAAGCACATCAAA